CACAAGCATTTGCTTATGGTTTTTTTGAGTGTTCGTTGCACTTAGCACTAAATATCTTGGATTATTTTTTGTTGTTAGCGGTGCACGTGCTTCACATGAAAGTTTGTCATCCTTGTATCCCCAAGAGGGACACTCTCTGGGGGCAAATATTTGCTGTTCACTATAAAATACTATTAACACTCCTTAACACGTGATTCAATTGAAAGTTCTTGAGGTTGTTAAGCACTTACGAAAAGAAAGTGTGGGAGATTAGCAAAACTCACCAAATATCACAAACACACACAACCGTTCGCTTTGAGTATCACCCGATAACTGTGATATATTTGTTTTATATTTTTACTAAATAGGCAAGATTGTGAGGCGATTACAAATACTTACGAATGCACTAAAATATTAACAGTATAGATCGATACAAATAAGTACAATGGATACTTGGGATTTTTAGTAAAGTCGCGTAGTAGCTGTTGCCCAAAAGCATTGTACTTTCGAAAGATTTGTTACAAATTGGCATTAAAAGAATTCTAACAGGACAAAAATAGAATCAAATTAAGCATACGAGTATATCCGAAAAATTTTAAAGTGAATTCGAACGTGCGAAAATTGTAAAAAAAAATGAGCATGGAGCAAATTTTAGTGGGTGTGGATAAAGGATCCTTTACTAATTTAGAATTAGTAAAGCACGTATAAATATATATATCGAGTCTAGTTTGTAAATTATATATTTATTGTAAACAATTTTTTCGTTATTTTCATATTATGTGCCACAAGAGTAGTCAYGATCATTGGCGTAGGCAAGGGTGTGCTTATTTTACTCTACTTTTTAGTAATGTTATGTGTATGATTTTGCGAATATAGTGACTTTCTTCTTCTTTACTGGTAATAGCCGAGTTTACAAAAGCGCGTCAGTAGTTCTTCTGTTTTCACTGATTGGCTCCAATTGGCGATTCCACGTGTAACCAGGTCCTTCTCCATCTGATCTTTCCAACAGAGTAGAGGTCTCTTCTTCCTCTGCTTCCCCTGGCGGAATACACTGAGCGACAGTGGTTTCATCCATTCTTATGGCATGACTCGCATCGTTCCATCGGCTACGATATTCGCCGTTGCCCAGGCTCAAAGGACCATAAATCTTTCCCATAACCATTCTCTGGAAAACTCGTAACGGCGACTCTTCAGATATTGTCGTCGTCCATGTCTCTGTACCATATAGCAGGACTTGTTGAATTTGGTCTTTGTTCGTAAAGAGAGAGGACTTAACTTCTCAATTGCGTATTCAGTCCGAGGTAGCACTTGTTGGCAAAAGTTATTCCGCGTTCGATTTTGAGTCTGACGCTGCTGTTGGTGTTCATGTTGGTTTCCAGATATACGAAATTATTTACAACTTCGATATTAAGACTGTCAACATTGACTTGAGAACTCCGTTGCGATTATGACAATTGTTTCTTTGATGACTAGATGTGTATAAGAGACAGACAACTTCGATATTAAGACTGTCAACATTGACTTGAGAACTCCGTTGCGATTATGACAATTGTTTCTTTGATGACGGTATATATTTCGTCGGGAAAGCAGAATTAACGCCGCGGATGTTGTGACCAATGATATCAATTACCATCGCCGTACACCAGCAGCTGTACGAAAGTGCAAAAACTCTCTTTTATTATCTCTTAATAATAATACAATGATGTGGAAACGGTTCATAATATCATTATCATCATCTGCCTTACCACATTTTTATTCAAAATTTGTACATATAAAAGGAATAATTCTCTAAAYCATGGGTACGTACGCCGTTGGCTCACTTTGCTTCTCAACATCATATCAGATGGGCTTTGCTTCGTTCACAACGACATCATCTTATAATGGACATATATAAATGGTCAGCGCGCTAAGGCAATTAAGCCAAATATGTCTGTTTGTATATACGCGAGTCCCTGAGATATCGTTCTGAAACTTTGCACTTTCCATTTTCTCCCCAAGAAGCTGCTCATTTGTTGGGATCTCCGAAATCAGACAACCATAGTGTATAGCTCCCATACAAACTGGCCGATCATTATTTTAAAGACTAATAAAGATGTCGAAAGGTCACACTGTGCAAAATGCGATCCCCTTAMAAAATATTCGGTTTGATCTAAAARGATCGTATAAAATTATWACATATTTACGAGTTTTTTTTAAATTAGATRATATAGGCAACATGTATTTTAATCAGGTGACAAATACTTTGCATTGCACTCTCAACTAGCTATTGTCTTCAGTGCTTAAATTCAATTTGAGTGGAAAATAGACGTCATCATTCGCTCGTATTGATACGTGCGTGGGATGCACACGTGCGACAGCTATAATATTTTTATTATATAGAAGTTAGAATCATTTCAGTAGATAAGAATATAAGCTATGATTGTAAGTRATGTAGTAAGATTGAATTTAAGACACGGGACTTACGACAAATATGTTGAATACTTATCTCAACCATATTGGATTACTTACTTTATAACTACAAAGTGCTCCAAACAAAAATTAACTTTGTTATTCCATTATTCCACGATTTGCAACATTTCCAAATTTTCCGTTGCTTGAGATGAGGAAGCATAGTTTGGTTGCACTGGCTTAGTTTTTGTTTATCATTTATATTGTGAAAAGAGATTATGCTTTTAAAACGAATGGAAATTTTAAAATTAAACGACTAAACAGTCCACAAAGTTACTGAGGTATTGGAATTCTTCATACATAAATAGGAAAATAGTCATATAATATGATACATTTACTTCCAAATTAATTAGAAACAAGTCTGCCGTTTGACTAGGTTTATGAAAAGTAGTACCGGTTCATATAAAATTCCTTAAGATCCAAACGTTACTACACAGAGTTCTAGATGGTTAAAAAGCTTAGTTACCTATTAGTGTTATAATGTAGCTGAAATTAAAAAATTTACTATATCAGTATAMAAAGATTTTCTTGTTTAATAATGATGAATGCACTGTGAACTTAGGCCTATAGGAAAACACATTCTTATCGAAGCGGGTGGTAGTTCTCAAGCTAAAATTATTTATGTGACCATTTACCTAAAAGAAAGGAATATAAAATAAGCCAAATACATTAAAACATTTTAGATTATTTACAAAGAACGGAAATAACCACTCATATATATATGTATATATATATTAAAAAAGAYAGAAAATTAGAAAAAACATCAAATTTGCTTGGCTACTTAGAAAAGTTTCCATACAAGAGCTTTRTTTAGACTATTTTAGAGTAGAATTTTTGTCTTCTTGTGGATAARTTGTAGTATGATTGAAAATGTAGAATATTCTAATGTCTTTTGTTCTATAGTCTTAAAGACAATTTTTTGCCAATTTGTCTATTTCAGGACCCGGCTTTGGTGTACGCCATGTACAAACTCTACTGTTATTTTTCAACATTGTTGTGGTTTCTATAAGTCGCCTAAACATTTCGGTTGCTGTGGTCGCGATGACAAACGCCGRAAGCACGAATCCTAATTTTCAGGTGAACACATAACTCCTTTCGTCTCYCTCTCAGAAGAACTAACCTTAGCTAATATTTTATAGGAATTCGATTGGACGGAAGAACAAAAATCTTATATAATTTCCAGCTTCTACTGGGGTTACGTGGTCACACAGTTTCCCGGTGGCTATTTGAGTCGWCGTTTCGGTGCGAAAATTGTGATGAGCATAGGTGTCTTCGCTTCGTCTATATGCAGTTTGGTCACACCATATCTGGTGTGTTGGGGTGGCTGGCAAATRTTATGTGTTATACGTATTCTGCAGGGTCTCTGCCAGGCAGCACTCTTTCCCTCCATACATGAGCAYATTGCGAAATGGTCTCCGCCACGYGAGCGYAACTTGCTGGGCGCAATCATATATTCGGGTGTCGATTGTGGTATGGTGTTGGCAATGCTTGTGAGTGGCTTGATTGCGGGTAGCGCGYTTGGCTGGCCGGGTATTTCGTATATTTCAGCTGGCGCTGGTTTTCTCTGGTGTTTATTTTGGCAGATTTTCGCAGCGAATAATCCGCAAACATCGCGCTTTATTATGAAAGCAGAGTGCGAGTACATTGAGACTTCTATGCGMCGTGAGAAAGACTTCCATGAACGGAAAATACCTGTACCATGGTTGGCAATGTTCACATCGGTGCCCTTCTTGGCGTTACTCGTTGTGCGTTGTGCCGAAACCTGGGGCATMAGCACCGCCCAATCGCAGATTCCCTCGTACTTCAATGGCGTATATAATATGAATATAAAAAGTACTGCATTGTGCTCATCACTGCCCTACATAGCGCGTTGGATTATGTCGTACATGTACTTGTTCTTCGGTAATATGGCGGTCGCAAGGAATTGGCTCTGCTTGACGGTGGTGCGTAAGATCGCCAATACATCGGCCATGTGGCTGCCTGCGTGTTTTATGATCGGTATAGGATTCCTTRATGACACCAATAGATCTTGGGCTATTGCTTTGATGACCATGAATGTCGGCTTCAACGGTGGCATTACCATGGGTTGTGTGCTCAGCACGATTGATGTATCGCCAAATCATGCAGGCGTCGTAATGGGTATCGYGAATACGCTGACTAATGTGGTGTCTTTGTTAACGCCACTGGTTGTGGGCTTCGTAGTCACCGATGCGGTATGTCTTTCCCTTT